TGCGGGGGTCGGCGCCGGGCCCCGGAGAGGTGGCTGGAAAGGCCGGTCTGGGAGCGGGAGGCGGCGGCAGGCGCGGGAGCCGAGCGACCTGTATGGGGTGAAGACAGGGAGGTGTTCTTACTGGGGTAGCGAAATGGAGATGATGTGGGTCTTGCCGTGTTTTATTTGTCTGTTTTTAAATGTGTTCTGTGGGGGCACCTCCAGCTGAGGGTATGTGGTATACGGTGGAAATGCCCTGTTCATGCTTAAGTCATTTGCTGTTAACACCTTGAATTCTCTTGATCTGTAGTCTGGTTTACGTTGGACACTGATTTGGGGTAACACCAAGGCAAAAGGAAGAAGAAAGTGGCTTGGAGGCTTGGTGGAAGAAAGAAGCAGAAAACTCTTTCATTGTTGGGCAGTGCTGACAAAACCAGCATATTTGCTAGCTGAAATCTCACAAACAACAGGGAGTGAAAAAACTTGTTTATTCATGCCCGGCCAGTTGGCAGATCTCTTTGTTTAGAGAGCATTCAGCCTTTAGTGTTGCTTGTTGCAAGCACAATATTTACTTAACTGACATTCCCAGAACGGGTGCAGTTGTGGTCACGCAACTATGGCTGCAGCTACGGCTTTAGAATGTTTTACAGTCTTGTGAAGAGACAGTGTGCGTAAGGATAGCTATTAAAAAGAAGGAAACAGGAAAAAGAAGTGACAGAAAATGCATTCGGTAGATCTTGCATGCAGCGTTATTGCTTTACCAAACCAACAGGGTTGTTTTCTCACCAAAGGGTATATACTTAATACGTCAGCCGAGCCTTATTACAGCAGAGGGTGGATCTTCCACCCACAATAGATTTCCTCAAAATAGTCCCTACAGTGTGAGGTTTTCCTATCCCTAACTGTGCTTTGTACATCCTTCACTGTTTTGATGGTGAATTACTCCTGGAATGTCAGGGTTTGAGGATGTTGGGTTACACCTTCCCCACCCCAACTCTTTTTTTTCTCTCTGAAGAACAGGAATAGGTGATGCAGTTGGGCACTGCAACACTTGTCCTTTTTTCCACCCAATTTTTAAAAAGACCTGGAAACTTAAATGCTCTGATGCATTAAAAAACTCACACCTTCCCTCAGGGTTTGTCTTCTCAAGATAAAAAAAATCAGTTTCTTAAGGTGTATTGAGCTGAGCAGTAGGAATAATGAGTCACTTAAAATTTCAGATAAGTGAATATAAACCTCATCTCATCTATACTTTTATATATATGCATGTGTGTATGTGCAGACCTGTCTGTGTTAGTGCCTGCTCACAGTAGAAACTTTTTATGTAGTTGTTCTAGTATAAGGAGCGTACGCAGCTTGTAAAGGCAGTTTGCAGTGTAACATGCGTTTTTACTTCCTTCACTAATGCCAAAGAAGAGTAACTGCCTTTACCAGATTGGAAACGGAGCATGAAATTGTCATTTGAAGCCTTGTTATGTTTCAGGACACAGCTCCTAATTGAGCACATGATGTATTAAGGCTTGCAGCAGCTTTTCTGGGCAGGAGAAAAAAACAAACATGAAAACAGTTGTGGCTTTAAAAATATGCTGTGTCTTCAAAATAAGTAAATTAAAGATATGGCTCACCAGGCCATTGGAAAATATTTATCTGTGCCTGTATGCTCAAGTGGAAAGTGGCTATGTTGGTTTTCACTCTTGAGTGGAAAGTGCTGCTCTGTCCCCTTGGAGTGGAACTGCACAGGGATTTATCAGCAAAATGTTTGGAGGGTGGGATTCAATGTAGATGATCTTAAAAAACTAACCAAAAATCTAATTAAGACCAGATTTTTTAAGAAGTCTGACATGCTTCGTCATCTGCCATAGGAGTTGTTAAACTTCAGGGTGGTTAAAAAAATCTGGCCTCAAGCATACCTGAGGTTTGAACTCCTTTGAGATACCACCCTACTGTGCATATGAATTACAGGGAGTTGGAACTCTTCCTGTTTTAAATGTCTTACCCCGAGGAAAAAACATGTCTTACCAACCATGTTGCATCCCCTTGCCCATTACAGTAACTTCTTGTGTGGAAGATGAACTCGAGGAAAGTAATTAAAGTATTTTTTGCATTTTAAATGAAATGTATGCTAGGAAAGATGACTGTAGTCTATTGGGAACAGGCTGTTCAGCAACTCTATTAGAAAGATATCACAAATTAGTATTGATCTCATGTTGCATAGTGTCATTGTAGTTCAAGTCATTTAGTGGTGAAATCTTTTCAGCTCAGAGGCAACATCCGCTTATGCTGGCAGGGAACGTGATTGTTGGATCTTCGGGTTTGCTGCTATTGTGCTGCTTGTGTCTTCGTAATAAGGTAATTCACCAGGCTAAGAGAAATGGCAGTCCCATATTTCTGCTGTTTCAGATGTCAGTTTTGAAATGATGCCCTGCCATTGTGTTGCCACCTTCAGGGTGGTGTTTGTGCTTTTTTTTTTTTAAACCGATCATGACATTGCCTATAAATAAAGCAGCTGTCATTTAAAGCACATGCGCACACTTCAATTTGCTGTGTCCCTTGGCATTCCT